TTAAAGAAAATTATTTTTAAGAAAAAGAAATAAATTTAAAATAATATATTAACAAAAATCTAAAATTATCATATTTTAATATTATTATAAATAAGTTCTAACTATTAAAGATATAATATTTTCAATATTAAGGATGTAGCATAATTAACACTTAAAGGCTCCTACAAGATAGATTCCTTACGGTTAAAATACAACAACAATTAGAGGAGGCCAAGGTAAATTGTAGCTACAGATCAAAAGTTTAGCAATATTAATATAATACCAAGCCAAGAAATAGTTTATGTATTTCTTATCTACAAGTAAAGAATACAAAAAGTATAATCTCATCTTATTCTATATATTTATTGTATTTTTTGTGATGATAATTGTTTTCTTTGTATTACATACTAGTGTTTTAGTTCAATAGATTACATATATGCATTTAAAAAAAATAAAATTAATCATTTTCTAGAATATTATTTTTTTTAAATAATGGAAAAAAAATTTAGAAACTTATCTTTTGAAAGAAAATTGAATGATTCTTTGAAATCAATTCATATAAACAAGATTTAAAAATATATATTTTTTGAAGCCATCACTTTGAATTGAATGAATAAAACTCTAATATTCCTTTTGCACTATTACACTAGAATATTTACAAGTTTTTTTTTGAAAAATATAAATTACATTTAAAATAATTTTTTAAACAAAAAATAGTTTTAATATATTTTTAAAATAACATATCTAAACCAATATTAATTTATAACTCTTATTTTTTATTCTTAAGTTTGAAGAGTACATAAAGAAATATGTTATATTACTATATAATAATAAATGATGAAATAAAAAAAATACTAATATCATGATTTTATATTTAATTAGTTTTATTTCAAAATAAGATAATTAAAATAAATATATTAGAATATTATAATTAATTTTCTAATTTTTATGATTTTGAATTTTTAAATTATTTTTTAATCAATTGATTAATAAAAAATTGAATGACATTATTTTAATGTTGTGTGATGTTTTTGTAATAATATGTGATTATAAAATTATACATACATATTTAAAGAAAGCAACTCAATGACACAAAAATTCTTCAATTGTAATATATATAATTTTTTGTATAAATGAGTACAGTTAATCTAATATATTATTTTAAAATATGAAATAATATATTCTTTTAAAATTTTATTTTCTATTACATTTAAAAACAAGAAAATAAAAAACAAGGCCTTTTGTTTTTAAAAAAATTAATAAAAGATATTAACTAGTTAATCATAAAAATACATATATTATGACTATTTAAAAAAATATATTCGCAAAAATATATGAAATCTTAGAAAATTTTATTTCTAGTTTTGAGAAAATGGATATTACTGATTGAATGTAAAACTGCCTATATAGAAATTAATACTTAACAAAGATATTTTTAGACTAACTTGAATATAATATTTTAAAATAAAAATAAAATGAATCTATCAATAATAGTAAATTTTAGAAATGATCAGCTAAAAATAATTCTTAATAACTAATAATAATAGACCTCATAAATTTTATTTTATCAAATCTTTAAAGATACGATCTTTATTATTGTTTTGATGACAATACTAGTTATTTCTTCTTTTCAAATGTCTCTAAATATCAAACAATATTAAATATTAAAAAATTCAAAGAATTCTTAATTATATCAAATTTTTATCAATTAAATATTAATTCATATATCTATGAATAAAATAGATTTATTATATCTAAAAAAAACTATTTTATTCTATTGAATTGTTCTAACTACCTAAATTAAAGAAATCTAATCAAATATTTATTCATTATTTTTTACTATTTTCTACCATTAGGTTTGAAGCTAAAGGAGAATTGTGAGAAGAATTATTTGAAATTGTTAGCAACGTCAAATAATCCCATAGAATTAAAAATAAAATTTTAAATTAGCTAAATTCTTATTTTTTCGATTTTAAAATATGATTTCTTCATAATCAGAAAAATATTAAAATACTAAAAATTTAATTTAAAAAACTTATCAAACGAAATTAAATTTCATTATCAAAAGAAATTACTATTTTAGAGTTTTTAACATCATGTTCAAATCCAAAAATGTTTTTTGTACTATTAATTTTTCTTAAATTTATAATATCAGGTATTTATAAATTTATCTTTGCTAGTAGTGGTAGCTTTTATTCATTATTTTTTATTTTTTATAATCATTGATATTAGAAACAAGACCTTGTTTAAAAGTTTGTACAAATAAAAAACTTCAAATTTGATTTTTAGTATATAACAATAGAAATGTCAATATATATAAATATATGTAGATATAATAATTCTAGAGATAAATTAAAAAATAATCAACTTTTCAATAGATTATGTGAATAATATCAAATGAGTTATCAATTTAAATTTGATTACTTCTTAATTCTTTGATTTAATTAACCTATTTAAATTTAATACAAAATATTTGATAATTTATGAGACCATCATTATAAATAAATTCGAATTTCAAATAAATAGGATTTTAACCAATAGATTGTAAGCCACGAAGTATGTGCATGTATGTGTATATATATATATATATAAAAAGATAAAAATAATATTTTTTTTGAAAGACAATACCATTGTTTATTTATATTTAATAAACTATCCTAAGATGCAAAATCCTTCATCACGTTTACATACCAACATGCATCTAATAGAAAATTAAAATCTTGTTCTACTAACAACAAAGTTGATAAATATTAAAAAATTACCACCATTAGTTTTTGTTTTTCCAACATTTAGTCAAATATAACTTTTAATAAATAGACCAAGAATAAGAAATAATAAGTAGAACTTAAGACACAATAACGTGAATCACTTCCAATAGAGAACCAACAATAAAAATACAAATAAAACCACAAAATCTAATGCCTCCAATATCTTTACATGACCCAATCCAAATTCTACTTTCAACTCCCTCATCTTCCATTCAACAATTTAAACTATAAAGTTGGCAATTGTCAACATCCACCTCTTCAATAAAACACTTATTGATGTTTCCAAATCATGTACTGCAATGGAAAACAGGATTTTGTTTTTTTGGGAACAAACTTGGGTATTGGTGCCATTAAGAAGAGATAAGAGTTGGTCTCAACAACCCCCCAAAAAAGAGCAAATAATCTCACAATTCTTTGCTTGAGCATTCAATCTCAAGGGTTGCACTATGAAGCGGACTTTACGATGTTGGATATTCATCATCTTCCTTCGAATAGTTTGCTTGTTTGAGCAAATCATTACACACATTTGAGCAAATGATTCTTGCTTTACTTGAATCTAAGACGGCAAGTTCACGTTTTGATGAAGAGGGAGACTGTCGGTCGGAGGTGAAAAGTTATACGCTCAATCGTTCCTGTGTCGAGATCATGCACATGATGAACGAGTTGATCTGGAAGTTACCCAATTTGAAGTGAAGCCCTAAAAGTTTCCAAGTTCATGATTTTATGCAAAAACACAATCCACTACTGCAACTGTAGATCCGTCAGTTGTTGTGGCGTTTTCGATTTTATCAGAGCATGGCGCACTTCCATTCTCATACTGCACCGAGTCCCCTTCTGAAGATCAGGCTCAACTGATCTGTAGGGCCAATCAGACCAACAATGGCAACTTCACAGTAATATTTGCGAAGCATGACAGTGACAATGAAATGAAATCCAGTCAAAACACTTTTTTATCAAGTCTGCGTCTGCTGGTCATGAGCGATGATATTAAACCGGTTGCTGAACCAAAACGTCCAGTTTCTGTTGGTATTCAAGGTGATATTATACAGCTGTAGTGAGTAGTATGTCAAGTCAATAACTTCGAGCACCTTTGTTACCATATACCCTCTATTTTACTGTTTAGAGCTAATGCCTCACATAAGTCTATATGCGTTTAGAGGTTGCCAGTTTTGCGTAACTTTACGTTCACAACTCGGGAAAATCTATTCAGCAGTTTTACAACATGTAGTCCTCTACTTGTCATTCGAATAGTAGACGCAGCGTGGTAGCCGGATTTCATGTGTGTGAATAAAGTATGTTCAACAATGGTGAACCTACAAATTCCATTTCATTCATTTTGAAGCCAAGCCTTCTTTTTGCCAAGTCATCGCTGTGTTAACCCAGATGCTCATTCTTCAGTGTTTTGTACACCTTGGCGAATTTGAGAAGGACCCAGTTGCAAATGAAATTGACAGACGATGGCCTAGTTTTCAATCGTGAAGTCGGGAGTGTGAGTGGTGATAAATGAGTGACCTCTGTGACTGTTTTGAGCGCCAGTGACTCATGTTGAACTGTTGATAACTCATGAACAACCATTCTATTACCTTTCAAGCGAGACCCATTACCTTGCGCGTGAAGAAACGAGGAGAGCATGATCCAAAAGACGAGGCACATTGTTAACATGACGGCCATCACCACTCAGTTCGGTTGTCTCTGAAGCTCCATTGCGTGTGTACTCTAAAAACAAAATAGCATTGTTGAAGAGTTTCACTCACATTCGACAACTAGACCTGATTGTATTGCCGAAACATTGAGTTGAAGGAGTCCTAGCAACCATCAAATGAAGCACTACATGCCACTGAAACTCTACTACAATATGAACGCTACTATTATTTCAAGATAGGAATTGTAAACACAGGTTCATGCGGCTGTGACCTTGATGACTAATTGCAGCTGATGGAATTGAGCACCTGAATGTTGCACCCACTTGCTCAACTTCGACTTTGCTTTCACAATTGTAATCGAATCTGAGCAAGTGGTGTTGATTATGGTGTTACCTTGCAAATATTTTTAGATGTAATGTATGTATTTGTGTGTGTATGTTTTTACATTTCATTTGGTTTTGAGGGGGGCAATAAGGGAATCATGAGCTCGTCTGTTCTTTTAACATCTACGGGGGCGAGAACTAATACTCAGCCAGACATTGACATGACACAACAGCGAGATTGCCATGTAATTGAGAGTTATGAGCATCTGAGACCAAATCAAAATACATCAATGTAAATACTATCAGGGGATGTCTGCATTCATTCGAGGATTTTGATGTGTGACGTAGCATCATTTGATGAAAGCTATCTCCCATGGTATCCCTAGTACAAGTAAACTTTTCACTAGCTTCAACCAGATCATTTTCTACGTTCATACACTAGGGGTACACATTCTTCACATGTTTACGACACATCTTGCTGCGGTACAACTGCAACACTTGATCTCTTGTGATATGATTCTTTGCAGACGGCGACTGCGACTGTGGTTTCATGCATTATTTGTGGAAGTGAAATGGTGGAAGGTATTACGCTATTGAAAAAGCTGGATGAAAGGCTAGTACCGATGGTGGAGACTGACGGACAACGCTTCAGTACAAAATAAGTCGTGATAGCTCGAGCACGTAATTTTCCAGTCCTGGTTTTCTTGCGTTTTTGGGTACAGAATTCTCGACAAACTTCTGAAAACAGCCTCTCCAGTTGAAAATCACAAGTTGGAAATTGAACTCTGTCTTGTGAAGAAATTGAATGGGGAAAGCCACATTCTTTGGTACTCCTGTTCTGGCATCGCCCTTTGTATCCAGTAATCTCTATCCTTGAGCATACCAAAGTGACGTATGAGAGATAAGACCCAGATTCATCATACACAGCCATCAACACATGAACCTTACCAGTCTGTCGATCCAACCTCGCCGGGCAGATGGCTGTGTATGATAGTTACATGTAAGCTTCATGTCAGAGTATTGACAGAAACGCACGTCAAGGACCTGCAACATTCCAATGCTTCTATCAGATACCTGGTCTAGCTAGGGTAGGATTGGAAAGACTCAATTCTAGGATCTTCGTTTCTTATGGACATTAAACTTGTGGTGGCTGTGAGATCTACTGCAATTGGGTGGAGAAGGTGGTTCCGTTTCCACGATTACAATACACTCAAATTGCTAAGCACCGACATCACAAATGTCATTCTATGATTGTTTTGGATTCACATGCTGAACGGTAGAGGACGCTGTGGAATCTCAACCACATTAGATTGTGTTAAACTACGGCTTAAGATCGTTAAGCGCGAACTTGTTAAGAGAAATAAACAAACAAACAATTTGAAACAGGTTTTTAGGCAGGTCTAAATTTCAAATCATAAACTCTATCCGAAAAAAAGGCCAATTGAGCCGGGAGCATTTCCAAAAACAGGGACTGATTGCCGAGGAGCGTGAAAGGGCCCCTGCTTACCGGTCCCGTATGTATTGAACTTGACTGTGTCGAACTTCCTGCAAATAATACTTCAAATGTAACATCCTCTAATGTCCATATAAAGCCGGCCCTCCTCGCACTCCAAGACACATTGTTGGAATGAAATCGTATCCCGATAACGAACTGTCAAAACAATAAATCTTGAAAACTCCGCCTTCGATTACTGGAAACTTTTCAATTCCAATTACGCTCCATGTCTCCAATTTCAAGCCAACGAAGGATGGTTGTCTATGAAGCGTGGCCTTCGTTACGTCGACATGACAACAAACAAATTCATTCGCCCCACTCAACTCCATCGCCCACGTAAATACCTAAACCCACGTAAAATCAAATCAACATTCGATCAGCGCATTCACATCCCTCACATCAACATAAATGAAGCAGTAGTTTAGGGTTAGGGTTAGCTGCTCTCGAAGCATGCACAAAGAATTCGCAGAAGTATGAGCAGACCCAGTCCGCATATGGACACAAGAGCATAACCTGCGAGCCTTTCATGCTTTACCAGCTCTGCCAGTGCCGAGGACTATAATGAAGCTGCAATTGCGAGACTAGCAGCAACTCATGAGCTTAACTACAGCAAATGCGATGCACTGCAAAACTAGATTGTGAAGCTAGTTTTTGTTACCTGCTTGGTTTTTCTCCATCTATGGTGACCAGGAATGGTATGGAAACAACCAGTGATTGATTCACAGTGAAATGACCTGGGCCAAGTTTAGGGTTTCACGAACTAGAGGTTAGGTGAATTGTGTTAATGGGTTACAGTTGGGCCTACAAAGTGCACATGACAATTGAATGAGGGAATCATTCTCTCCCTTCATTTCATAAACCTCATGTGTGCATTTTATATGTTAATAGTTCCATGCTCAGTTTGCAAGCATTGTCTCTTGTTATTGTGAGTAATGGTGTTGCAGATTTTGATGCATTCTCTTGGAGTCACAACTTTGTTTGTTGGATTTTGTTTCAAAACTTGATTGTTTACTGTTGATGTTTGATTGGAAAATAGGAAACTGTTTTTGGGGAAACATAATTCCATAATATCTTCAATAAAAATGAACAGTTATGTTTGTCTTAAATGTATGTTCGTAACAGCATGTAATTTCAAGTGCACAATTTTTATTCTTGAGTTGTTCTAGTGTGTAAAAGTGTGGTTAACTCCCTTGGATATAGTTGATAATGCTTTTTAGTTCTTTATTGATAAAATTAAAATGATTATCACTAGTTGATTTTAAGTTAAAATCATTTGGGTTGATTGCCTTCCCGCTTATAAAGGTTTCGATTTTTTAACTTGTAAAGTATTTAAATAGTTAACAGTTCATTGATTATTGTGTGTGTATATATATATATATATATATATATATATTGTGATCAATATAAAGTTGACCTATTTTACTGAGATTTCTTCGGAATTTAGGATGTATGGAGTATAAAAATTAATTTTTTTAATACCAATTCCTAAAAAAATAAATTAAATGTCCTCTTTTGTAATATTAAATTAAAAAATTAGCTAATGAATTTTTTTTAATGGTTTGCAGAAAGTATTACATGATTATTAAACTTAAAATATGAATTAAACAACCAATTTTATTTTATTTATATGTGTGTATATATATATATATATATATATATATATATAAAGAGTGTTTTTAATGCCACCACAATTTTTGCAACTCCTAATACAACCTCCATCTGCTACATGTCATTTTTGTGCAATATTTTTCAAATCAATCAATTTTTTTTGAGAGTGTGACTTGGCAAGAATAACAACACACTCTCAAGTCAACTAATGGGAAAAACTAAATGGATGGAAAAACCACTAAACCAAATTAAATCACATACATCCAAAGGAATTTGGCACCTGATGCCACATCACGTGACAATAAGATGGAAGTTGTTGTAACAACGCATAATCTTTTTCTTTTCTTTTTTTTTTTAGAAAAAAATTACTTCAATACTTTTTAATATTTAATATTTTATTTAAAATTCTACACATCTGATAAGAATATTGAAATGGTTTGAAGCATTACAACTTTCTGATTACTTTTTATTAATGAATTTTTGCCATTAAGAGCTTAATTTCTATTTTAATTTGGATAGGCTTCAATTATTTTAGTTTAAATTCAAAATTAATAAATATACATTGCACATTATATATTGATATGTTATTATTACTTATAAGCATAAAATAATACATAAATTAAACATGATTTTCCAGTAGCTGTGAAGAAATCTTTCAATAGCAGTATTATCAAGAAATAAACTAATGTGGAAGGATTTCCTCAAACAATCTGAAATGATCCTATTTTACTACATAACAATTGTTTCGACATAAATGAGATAGAGTGTACCTGCTCGTGTTTCTGTTTCACATCAATTAAAAAACACTGTGCAAGTGACTTCTAATTACATACACATGTTCACCTTCAACAATCAACATTACTAATATTTTGCATAAATTTATATTAAAAAAAACAAACAAACAAACAAACAAACAAACAAAAATAGTGAATGAAAAAAATCTTTATAATTGTTTCCTTTTAATTACATTAATATAAAATTTGAATTCGATATTACAACTATAATAATTCATATTTTTTAAAAGACTCAACAATTAAATCTACACTCAATATCTTTAACTTGAATTTAGAAATTTATTAAGCTGTATACGTACATAAACTAAAAATATTTCAAAATTGGATCCTATTATTTTAAAATTTTCAAAATAATCATCACTTGAGATTTTGGGCAATGCATCATTTTTCTTTAATCAAATTGAACATTTTGAGGGGAATTACCAAACTAATCAATTAATGAATCAAATTGAGAAAGTGGATTGGAAATACTTCATAATTATTGAAACACATGCGAAAATCACATAATCTTTTTCTATCATCATCATTTTTTTCAAATTCACTATTATACGACAAAAGTCAATTGGCATATTTTAAAACAAATTACAATTTTAAAAACATTAGTGATTGCCTGTGTATGATACATTTAGCCTATCAGGCTACACATATCATTAATGTTATAAGATTTACAATATGTTTGGATATATATATATATATATATATATATACACACATAATATTTCTCTCAATAAATTGCGGTTACAATGTGATGTGCTCCTATTCAAATTCTAATGATTTATAAATAAATATCCACAAAACTTACTTCTAAAAACTTAAATATAAGAATTGTATTTATTTGTCTTTATGACATAAGCTATATATATATATATATATATATATATGAAAATCTTCTTCAAGGACAATTTAATTGATACTCATTAATTATTTTCTCAATAAAAAGAAAAAAGGAAAAACATAAAGTACGATATTTGTGTAAATCCCTTTGCCATTGATTATGAAATTGATAAACATTAATTCTAGTCCAAATCATTTCACAGCGAGTAAACTATTATGTACTATCACTCAATCTCAAAAACATCTTTTCAACATCATTTTTACACCTCCATTCATCGTCATGATAATCTCTACTAGTGTTATCAGTATTTAAACTTTAAGTTTAAAATTTGTTTTACTATAATCATTGTATGTATTGTACTAATAATGTGTGCATAAATGTACTTTTAATTAAAAGGTTCAAATTTTCCTTTAAATCTTTATTTCCAAAGGTGAAGGTTTCAAAGATGGAAATGTTTTGTTGTGAGTACTAAAACAAATGTTCCTTTAAATAGAGATTTCACGGGTTCTTGTAAAAATTGCTAAATTTTTAAGATATGTGGCTCTTGTTTTGTTTATTTTGCAAATCCAAATTTAACGTTTTGGTTTACTATAAAAAAAATTAACTGATTCTACCCTAAATCATATCAGCATTGTAACATACTATGTGCTCTTGTATTAAAGTAATGATTTCAAATCTGGTTTTTGACAACACTGTTACTAAAACTTACAAATTTTTCTTAGCTCACAAGCCAATTAAACTATGTATATATATATATATCATTACATTTCAAAATTGATGAGTATAATACCAACAACAATTAATTGATGTCCACAAGCTACTGTTTGCCACCTTTGTAAGGACAAGTAAGTGAACTTTATTATATTATATAATGGAATTTTAAGAGCCAAAAAACATGCAATAAATCAGAATATAATAAATAAAAATATTACACGTGTCACCACAAAAGATTAAATAAAACTTAAAAAACAAACTCAATAATATCTTATTGTTTCCCTAAAAATAAACTAAGAATATGGATCATTTCTTGAATTATTACAATTAAAATGACGATAATAAATATTAAAAGCTCTGACCAGTTCATCAATCACCGTTTAAAGTCAGAACGTCCCTTTTATTTTATATTTATATTTTATATTCTATATATAAAACTTTACCAATAGCTCCAAAACACAACCTACAGCAACACTTACACAACGACAGACAACTTTCCTTTCTTCCTTCCTTTCCTTCGTGAGAGAGAGAGAGCGAGGGAGAGAGCATTTTGCAACACACCATGATTTAAAACTCACGATCTCCCCTCTCAATACAATACATTAATCAATTCAATGTACAAATGTTCATCATCCGCAGCAAAATTCAGCAACCCACAGTGGTACCATACTTACATACCTACAGACATACATACGTTCACAATTAGCATGATCTTTTTTCTTCTCATACATAGCATAATAATAATAATAATAAATACCCATAAACACACACTCAAATAGAAGAAGAAGACATGACGTTAGTTGTGTTGTGTTGTGTTTGTTAGTTAGTTTGTTTGTTGTGGTGGGGATGTGGAATCCGGGCAAAAGAGGGGAAATCAATATGGGCCAGGCTGCCCGTCCGTCCTCGCTGATCTAGGCTTGCTTCTCTGTGCAAAGATGGTGCCCTGCCTGAGTGCCTGCAGCTTGCCATGGATTCTCTCTCATTTTTATAATAAAACCAGAGTTGGACTCAGCCCCATTCCTTTGCTTGCTCTGGCTTCATTCAATCCCCATCCCTGCCTCTGATTTCACTCTCTCTCACAAAACTGCCACTTTTGTTGCTTCAGCCGCGTGTGTGAGGACAGACTGTGTGTGTTTGTTGTGTGGAGGAGGAGAGAGAGAGCTACAGCACCCACATTGTCAACACCGGTGTGAAGGGAGAATTTTGTAAGGGAGAAATTTGTTGTTCTTGCATATGGGGGATGTGTGAATGGGAGTATGGGAGAATGGGAAGGAGAAGGAGAAGGAGGCTTGATGTGAGGTTGGTTTCTGTGTTTTTGTAGTTAGTGAGGTGTTGGAGCTAGGGAAGGTGTCGTGGATATGTGTTGTCGTGTGTTGGATTTTGTGTGTGTGTGTGTGTGTGTTTTTTAGGTGGGTTAGGTTTGGTCTGAGGTATGGAGTTGAATTGCGTTCTTGTGTGCAGACAGATGACGAGGTACGTAGCTCACATTGCGGTGATGGTTATGGCGTTCTTGATGGTTCGGGATGCTTGTTCTCTGAGCGAGTGGAACGAGGCTCGTGCTACGTTCTATGGCGGCAGCGACGCCGGTGGAACGACAGGTACTTGGAAGGGTTGACGGTGCCACACCTCATTCAGCTCGAATGCATAATGACCGAGAGTTGCTTTTGTTTCTGTAAAAATTAGATCACGACCAGGTTATTCAATGCTCATCGATCTTGCCAATTTGGCTTGTAGGAGGTGCATGTGGCTACGGAGATCTGTACAGCACTGGCTATGGCACCAACACGGTTGCCACAAGCTCCGCTATCTTCGACCGAGGCCTTGCTTGCGGCGCTTGTTACCAGGTTAAGTGCGCTGGTAGCGCATCCGAGTGCCAACCTGGCACCCCCGCAATTCAAGTTACCGTGACCAACTTCTGTCCTCCTAATCCTTCCCTGCCTGAAGGCAACGGCGGCTGGTGTAACCTCCCGCTGCACCATTTCGACATGGCCATGCCGGCATTTCAACAAATTGCTTCTTACAGAGTTGGCATTGTGCCTATCTTATACCGAAGGTATGTGATCACTACCACCTCCATTCGCTCATCGACTGTTGCGAGTTTCTTATGCGTGCTACTTTGTTCTGAAATCATTACGAATTTTGTTTCCCAGAGCTTCGTGCGTGAGGACAGGCGGCATCCGCTTCACTATGAGCGGACACAAATTTATGAACCTCGTGCTCGTCACCAACGTGGGTGGTATGGGGGACGTCCAAACTGTGTTCATTCAGGGGTCTAAGACGAAGTTGGTGGCCATGATCCGGAACTTTGGCCAGATATGGCAGAGCTCCGTGAACGTGAGCGGTCAGAGACTCTCCTTCATGGTCATGACCAGCGATGGCGAGAGTGTAGTCTCCAGAAATGTGGCGCCTTCGGATTGGGCATATGGTCAGACATATGAAGGTTCACAGTTCTAGCAAATGCTAATCCGCCGAGGGTATTCTTCTCGCCCATCTCCTGACACGCATTCGCCTCATCAATCTCTCTAACTACACACGATGATGCACCGAAGCTGTCGGCAGATTCTCTGTTGTAGTTCGTGGATTAAGCTGTACAAGTAAGCAAACGATCCAGAAGCTTTACATTTTATGGTGACGACGACGACTACGACGACGACAACGACATGAAGGATACTGTTCTAGGGGCCTCTTTGGCTTATGGGGTGTTGAATTCGAAGCTACCTCTGATCCACGAGGAGGGTGCCGAGGAGGGCAACAACCCCAGGCGGTCGTGTGAATAGGTGTAATTCTATCAGAGCCAGCTCCTGTAGGAAGGATACAAGTTTAGTTTTCAATCAGAGTATCTGGTGCAGAAATTTCGAGTAGGCGTGCCAGTTTTGTACAATACCAGTGTGTATGTGCTTCTCTAGATCTGTGTTCGCTTCCTATTTGCTCATCCAATGAAACAGTTGATTGCGGACCCAACTCTTCAAACTTTTCGTGTACTCTTCAACATCACACGTCTTGAGGTGGGGTCAATTAGTTTGAAGGGCATAGCTCCGTGTACAATGCAATAACCGTTTAAATCCGTGTGTGCAGCAAGCAGTATATGAGACTCCAGGAGTTCACACTGTGACTGCACCCCCCAACCCTGTGAGAATGTTTGATCTATTCAAAGCATTTCTCAATCTGCTGTCAATTGTGCATTGTCCTCATTCTGACATCTCTTACAAGTCCTTTCCCAAGAGATCTTAATCCATGCCACCGCAGAGACTGCATTCGCGGAGGAGGCGTCTATGAAATATCCATCCGAATCTGGATCTCGGCGAGCTGGGAGCACCGGCTTGACTGTCGATGGCTCCATCAATCAAAGACCGGCGTTGCATTAGGACATAGTAGCACTGTAGCACTAGTACCACTAGGATTGAAACCCCGCTGCAGCTTTCTTCAACGCGGTCACCTGGCCGACAAAGGCTATCGTCGGCACCGCAATCAAAGGCCCCACCTACTCCTCGTACATCACACCCACCCACCCACATCTATCTGGTGGCAAAACCCTTTCATTCATTCCTTATATTTTATAAGAAAAACTTCATATTCTGGCAGAGCGAGAGAGAGTGTGATCTTTGGGAAGAATATTGTGTTCAGATATGTTGCTATTATTTTATGGAAGATCCAAACAACCTCCTATATGCTAATTTTTGCACAGTGATAGAAAAGCGAAGTTTTTCCCTACTTTTTTTGTTTGTTTGTTTGTTGAGAGGGATTTTGGAGTTCTTTTAATGTTTTTTTTGGTATGACAAGCATCTTTTGAGAGAAACAGAAAGACTCTTGGAAAGTGTGATGATTCTGAGTGAAATTTCCAAGTTTAGGTGGTTAATGATTTGGCTGTGGTTTCAAAAATCTGTTGCATATTTGAAGACGAGTTGGGTACGCGAGTGAGGCCTTCATTCATGTTGTTGTAAATAATGAATAATAGAACGGAGATTAAAGTATGATTTTAAAAAAAAATACATGAATATGTTAGTTAGGTACCTTACATTAGAATCTACACTAGATGTTGATTGAACCACGTGAATTAAAGATATCAATTGTCTTCCATTATAAATTCTAATAAAAGGATGATGGAGATCATTTAATGTGCCTATGCCATGAATTTCATGGCCACTGTACAAAGCAATAGTCAAAAAAATTGCACGAAAAAAATACCCCAAAATATATTCAAATTTTTCTATAAACCAGGCACTATATACATAATATGCATGTCCTTATGCAAATGCCTATAAATATCACATGTGTTTTTATTTTATTTTTACATTGTAAACTGTTGTACTCTAATTTCCGAGTGATCCTTTTTTATACCCTTTTCACTGTGAGATATGATGATTTTTTTTATTATTATTATTTTATGAATAACATTTTAACATTTGAACACAAGCCATAAAAAGTCTTAACACAAAAGTTTTTGCTTTCAAGTTTTCTAAAATTCAAAATTCCATTGTTCTTGGTGTGAATATATATATATATATATATATATATATGCACCTATATATATTTTAGTAAAAAAATATTTACTAAAAATTACAATTGAGAGCTTCCGAGCTCCACACTTGTGACTAGCAATCTACAGCAACAATAAGTAGATTTTGATCTCTCATTGATCAAAAGTTGAGTTGTTGCTTCATTTTTGCTTCACTTTTAACAAAAACAATAAAACATGCAACCAATCAAAGGTGTTTATTGTTTCTTCTTGTTTATTTTGTTGGTTTATCTCTCTAAACTATTATATATATATATATATATATATATATATATATGAGTTGTTCATACGTAAATGTACTCATATGCACACACAAGCCTTTTTATTAATATTTATTTTCTTGCAACAATGAGGGGGATTGTAATAAGGTTATGGGCCCTAATTTCATTTCACTTGAATATAGTGGTATTGAAGCCTAGAAGAGTTTTTCACCAGATTTTCAGTCGTTTATGTATGAATGATAATCTCAAGCTTCTTCATTGTAACCGTATGTTAAGACAAAAAAAAAAAAAAAAAAAAAAAAAAAAACTCATCTATCCTCTTTGTTGGTCTGGCTTGTTGTTGGATTTCCTAGTCAACAACTGAAATCCAGACCAACAAAGAGGATATATGAGTTATTTATTTTTTTGTTTACAAAGTGTTAATTTTTTAATTTTTTAAAATTTAAAATAGATAATTTGATAATCTAATATCATAAAAATAATTTAGAAGATGCTGTAATTTAGAAAGTTAAATATAAGATTAAAATGATGTATTTAAATAATGTTGTAATTATACAGAAAGGCTTGTGTATCACATGAGTAAAAATAATCTATTATATCAAACTTAATATTGAACTTCTTTTCTTTTCAATTTTATTATTATTATTTATTTATTATAAAATTAAAGACTAAATATTCATTGTATGCTCTTAGGTAGTTTTGATGTCCAAATTTTTAGAAAATAAATAAAATCATCATAAACTAACTATAAAACTAAATAAAGAATAAAACTCAAAATTGTGGAGTAAAATCAATTGTATAAATAAAAACAAGAAAATATCATGCCTAAATAAAATTAATTAAAAAATATCTATAGTATAAATTATTTTTTATGGTAATAACTTTTCTAAGAATTAATTTAAATTTAATTAAATAATTTCTCTTTAAACACGTTTAATAAATATTATGGTAAATGTATAATATTTAATTTAAAATAATTTAGGTTTTATTTACAGGTCCTTTGAACTGATAATAATTTCTGAAACAAAAACTTTGATAGCATGTTAATTTTAAATGTATAATATGAATGAATCTAAATCGTGTAATATTTTAAATAGTATTATACATATTTTTAAAAACTAATTTTTATTAAAAATTAGTAATTCTTAGTGGAATTATACACATTAGAATTATTTTAAATAATATTAGTAATTTATGAATTCCTAAGAATTAGACTAATTGAAATGTGAAGTTAAATATTTATAAAAATATTTTTCCTATGTCATGTTCAAAATATTAAATTAAAATCATATAAAATTTTCTGTTGTGCTATATATATATATATATATATATATATATATATATATATATATAATATCAAATTAAATCTCAAAGAAATAAAATTTTAGTATCTTAAAATATTACAAATATTTCTTTAAAAAATATATGAGATGTTAATATGTTTTAATATTGTGGACCATTGAAATGGACAAAAAACTAGAACCAATATAAACTTAATATGACTTGTTCTTTTGATTTAAAATATACATATATATATATATATATATATATATATATATATATTGAAATTCACAGAAGATTTCACAATTATATCATAATGTAGAATTCCAACTAATTAAAACTTAAACATATGTGTGAATTTATTAATCACTCAAATAGGTAATTACATATATTTATTAAACAAGGTTTCTTTCATTAATATTCTAGCTAATACATGGTTAAAAATAAAAAAAATAATTAGAGAATTTTGGCACCAAATTTTTTTGAAGAAATAAAAGAAGGAACTGGAATGATTTCGAGGTAAAAGTAACTGCTTAAGGGTCTTCTTCTGTTATATTATGCAAATGTTACTTGTATTATTTGATTACATAAGTCTTTAAATATACTTGCAACATCGACAGAAAGAACTTTAACAAAGAGTTTTAGGTACGAATGTGTTGCAAATTGGTGTGAAGATTGGGATAATTTTATACATAAATTGTTTCAAAGTACATCCAAGTTTTGTCTAGAAGGTCATATCTACTCAATTTTGAGTATGAGAATGATAGAAGATCTGAGGGTTTGCACTCAAGACCCATTGAAATTTGAAAGGAGATGATAGACAGAATTAGAAAGCATTTACAAAAGTGAGAAAAAGAAATAAATAAATAAAATAAAAAGAAAAAAGAAATTCAGAATTGTACATTTTGTTAAGTTGATGGCACAGCTTAAAAAGGCATCCCTGACACATGATTCTTTTAAGGAATTTTAGAGTTAATTAGTGCAAACAATGAAATGTAAGATGACATTTTTGGAGATATAATTATGTAACAGAATGTGTTGTCCATGTATTTCAGAGCTTATAAATTTTACAATGGATGTCTGATATTGAATCATTTTCAGCATGTCCAGTATGTTGTTAGACAAACACAATTCATTTAACAAAAGATTTTTTCTTTTTCTGGGCTATTTTAAGCAATTGTTACATCTACTGAAAGGGGAAGAGTGGACAAAAGAAAAACCCACAATTAAGCCTACTCCCTAGACTTACAGAAAATTGTGTAAGTTATTGATTCCACACTATTTTGCAAACTTTATCCACGTGTGGGCCACGTAGATGAGGCCAATAATAGAAAGACTACTAATAAAACCGAAGATTCCAAGAGTGTAAACCAATTTTTTTTGCAAAGGGGGAATATCATTCATTTAGTGTGGGTAACCTTGGCACGTCTTCAAACCCCCCCCACCCCCCGCCCCCCTTCACAATATCATACCAGTCAGTCCAAAGAACTTTGGAATTCCTTCTAAGTCACTTCAGCTGCACGGGCTGCCCCCTGATTGGTCGAGACCCTCCGTGCCAACTAGGAAATTTGCCAGGGTGGGGAATACTCCTCCATGTCAGCACTTTCCCCTCTTACCAACCAAGTCACGCCAACTGGGCTCGCGTTCGTTTCCCTCCATGCCTCGCTTTTTCAAACGGACGGCCCCGAAAGTTTGCGCAGCCAGTTCGACGTCGCAGCTCGCCGGATTTCCTCCGCGACCGATTTGCAGCCCTTTGCGTGTTGCCAAAACTGTGAACACGACTGCGGTGAGTATATCATGAGATGCTGTTTCTCTTCACCCTTTTGTCTGGAACTCTGGGTTTCCGTGTGTGGAGCTGGCTCTGTTGTTGAACTGGTGAGTCTGTCTCTCTGTGTTGTGTGAATTCTCTCGCAAGTGCGCTGGAATTTTGGTGAATTTATCAGGGGGTGTGATTGGATCAGGAGGATTACTCTCCTTGCACACAGATGTATCGTGCGTGGTTTGAGTGCTGTTTTTAAACAAGTGATTGTGATCCTCCACCGGGAGTGGAACTGAATTGTGCGGAGACCAGGGTTTGCGTATCATCAAACTTAGAAGCAGTCGTAAGTGGTGCTTGGTAGTGGATTGGTGGGATGTTTTGAGGGGATCTACGAGATGCATGTTTCACAGCAGTACGTCGTAATTGTACGATGGGAAATTTTCCCCTGTCCACTCCCAACAATGGTTTGCATGTTTTGGTGATGGGATTTGTTTTAAGTAATCTGCGGCAGCATTTTAATCGCAAGCGTCATCCTTTCCAGTTTGATGTTGCCTGTATTTTGATACGAAGTCGTTTTGTTCTCAAATTGTTGTAATTTGATTATGAGATGATTTGACATCGTTTTTTCAAACTCGGAATTGGCTTACATTAGTAGTGCAGGAGATCCAAGGGAGCAGCTATGGCGATCGCAACTGGGATGTCGAAGCTGCTACCCGCTTCTAGTATTGCCTTCACTAAAGAATTGGCCGGGCTAAGAGTGATCCCCTTCCTCCCTCCTCCTCGTAAAGTTTCCGCAACGACTGTCATAAGAGCGTCCTTGCACGCGGAGGAATCTGAGAACTTGGGCGAGCATGTTGCCCAGAACAGAAGAGCACTGATGATGAAGGGAGCTCTCGGAGCGATAGGAATTCTCTTTCCTATCTGTGGGGCTCAATCCGCAAAAGCAGCGGAGGAGGAGGCTGGAGATACATCCCCCCGTTTGTCTTACTCACGGTTTCTGGAGTATGTTGATCAAGGACTTGTGAAGAAAGTAGATCTCTACGAGAATGGCACCATCGCTCTTGTTGAAGCCGCCTCTCCGGAGCGTAGGAATCGCATTCAGCGAGTTAGAGTTCAGCTCCCGGGAACAAGCCAAGAGCTTCTAGCGAAATTCCGAGCTAAGAACATCGACTTCGCCGCACACAACGCCCAGGAAGATCCAGAAAACTCGGTTTTAAACATCTTGAGCAACTTGGCGTTTCCTCTCATCGTGTTGGGTGCCTTGTTTTTCCTCAACCGTAGGCAAGAAGGAATCGGAGGAAGTGGATCTGGCGGCCACCTCGCATTTGGAAAATCGAAGGACAAGTTTCAAATGGAGCCAAACACAGGTATCACCTTCGCTGATGTAGCTGGTGTGGATGAGGCCAAGCAGGATTTCATGGAAGTTGTGGAGTTTCTCAAGAGGCCGGAGCGGTTCACCTCAGTTGGTGCCAAAATCCCCAAGGGCGTGTTGCTTGTTGGCCCTCCCGGAACTGGAAAGACTCTCTTGGCCAAAGCAATCGCTGGAGAGGCCGGAGTTCCGTTCTTCGCAGTCTCTGGTGAGGGTTGCTAAGTTTTGTCCGACTTTGAGGATACTTTACTCTCTAAATATGTCAATGAGAAATGCATGATTCGTCCGGATAAGTGTCTAATTGATGGATGGCGGTTCCAGGTTCTGAATTCGTCGAAATGTTCGTGGGAGTGGGCGCTTCCCGAGTGCGAGACCTCTTTAAGAAAGCCAAAGCAAACGCCCCTTGCATTGTGTTTGTTGACGAAATAGATGCCGTTGGTCGGCAAAGGGGCACTGGCATTGGTGGCGGTAGTGATGAGCGAGAGCAGACCTTGAACCAGCTTCTCACAGAAATGGATGGATTTGAGGGTAACACAGGTGTTATTGTTGTTGCTGCCACCAACAGAGCTGATATTCTTGATTCAGCTTTGCTGCGACCAGGTCGATTCGATCGCCAGGTCAAGAACATTCTGACTTTTTACATAAACCTCTTGTAGCTTTGCCCTCTGTTACAGATTGATGCTTTCGAATTTTTTCGTGATGCCACTAGAATCGGGAATTGGATCTCCTAATTTGTTGGTAACATTTACGAGTATTCTGTTCAGGTTACAGTGGATGTGCCTGACGTGAAGGGTAGGACTGAGATTCTAAGAGTACACGCAAGTAATAAGAAATTCGAGGAGGACGTCTCTATTGAGCTCGTTGCCATGCGCACTCCAGGCTTCAGTGGTGCTGACCTAGCCAATCTTCTAAATGAAGCAGCAATATTGACGGGAAGAAGGGGAAAGACAGCCATCTCTGCCAGGGAAATCGATGATTCCATAGACAGAATTGTGGCAGGTACATAGAACTCTCCTGCTAGATCGATTTCACCTCGAATCTGCTGTACATCTTGAAGCGGTTCTTTTCTGCTAAAATTCTTTTCTTAAAGTAAGTTCGTCTTCGGCAGGCATGGAGGGAACCGTCATGACCGACAGCAAGTCGAAGAGCCTCGTAGCCTACCATGAGGTTGGCCATGCTGTCTGCGGGTAATTTCTTCACAATACATGCATCTATTGTCCAAATTGATATCCCTGGTTCGGCAGGGTTGCAAACTAATCAGTTATATTTGCGACGCAGAACTTTAACCCCAGGCCACGATGCAGTGCAAAAGGTGACTCTCATCCCGAGGGGTCAAGCTCGCGGTCTCACCTGGTTCATCCCTGGGGAAGATCCTACTCTCGTCTCCAAACAACAAATCTTCGCTCGCATTGTTGGTGCTCTAGGTGGACGCGCTGCCGAGGAAGTCATTTTCGGCGACGCCGAAGTGACAACTGGGGCTTCCAGCGACTTGCAACAAGTGTCCTCCATGGCTAAGCAAATGGTGACCGTCTTTGGCATGTCCAACCTCGGTCCCTGGGCGCTGATGGATCCCTCGGCTCAAGGAGGCGACATGATAATGCGCATTTTGGCGCGCAACCAGATGTCTGAGAAGCTGGCGGAGGATATTGATCGTGCTGTGAAGCAAATTTCTGACGAAGCTTACCAAATTGCGGTAGACCACATTAAGAACAACCGTGCAGCCATAGATAAGATTGTAGAAGTTCTTCTGGAGAAGGAGACACTCGCAGGAAATGAGTTCCGAGCCATCCTGTCCGAGTATACAGAAATCCCGTCCAGCAATTCCAGCGAGAAGAAGCAACCCAAACCTGCAGCTGTGTAACGCATTGGAGGTGTAGATCGACTCAATGGATTATTTTATTGATTCTTATTGAGATTTTGGATTGTTAAGCAGTTCACCTTCTCATTGTTAATATCGTCATCTGGAAAGGACAGTCTTTCTTTAACATTTCAGTATCTCCACTGCTACCAGGGGGCACAGAAGTGCTCTATTTTATATCAGATTCTATGTACATGCTAGAGAAATTTGCACTTTCGTGATGATGTAACCACGAAGAGGGGCTATTGATGACGACTCATCGGACCAAATGGAATTATTGAGTACTTTTAGATTTTACACCATCTGCTCACAGAGTATGATAAACCTGCGTCGTTTTTCCGAGATGTGTGCATATGCAACCGCTTTCCTCGACGTCACTTAATGAGGGCATTATTTCTTTTAATTCTCCTTCCGTCCCAAGTCAATTATGACATTAATGTACAATGCAACCAATATCATCATAGTCTGGTTTCTAACTTCTCACGGATGAGACTTCAATGATCTTTCGTTAGGTTTAAGGAATAAAATGACGTTAGCAGAGACGTTTTTGCAGATGAAAGGGAGTATTCACAGGTCTCATAGCGAATAGTGTACCTCTCCAAGCCTGTACTAACAACTTGCAGGCAATATTCATGGACAACATGTTACAAAGTACCTACAAAAGCAAATATCAACTCATTTTCGAGAATTCTCCTGACTTCATTCATCGTGCGATAGCAATTAGCTAGGACACGTATCTAGCTCTAACCACGTACGCCTCATGAGGCGACGGTAGAGACGGACCGAGCAGAGGGCCCTTATGCTCTAGGTAGTGTAACCGCAATCTCAGGATATGACTACAACTTGTGTAAGTTCATTGCGTACAGCAAATCAGACTGTTTGCAAAAGATATCGTCATAGACGCGGTTAAAGAATACACAGGGCCCAAGCTCGGAAACCTGACACTGGAAGCATCTTAGAGACACAGGGAATATTTCATTACACTACCAACACAGACAAGACTTTCCCATTCTTCTAGTCGTCTACATCATAATTCGAAAAACTGAGACCCTATGCGTGAAACAGACAGTCGCCTCGAGGGTCATGCTATTACCTATATATCATTGCTTCATCTACATTCTCTTCTCCTTTAGCTGATGCACACACAGCGTAACCAAAGGTAAGTCGCAGGAGAAAATTGGAAGACGCTTTAGGTCGTGTGCATATAAGGTATTTTCACCAAGTTTGCCACAATCTGGCACGTTGAGGTGCATCAGCTAGGTCCTCCTGTCGAACTCGCGAAACCAAACAGAAGATTATCAATCGTACTGAAATCAATCGACAAGGTCTATTCATACGGGCACATTACAAACAGGAAATTAACAACTCAGAGTTTGAAGAGAGAACGCTACAAATCGAGTGACAGAATCAGGAACCGACGCTCGTCCGTGACGCTCTGATCCAGCTAGCGAAATATATACTGCGGAAGAGTTAACCTCAAAATTAGGGCTAGGATTTTACTGTTGCGATTTGAAATTGATTCCGATGCTGCCACGTTCTCATGATGAAAAATGAAGATCAACGAATGATAACACTACGAGTATAACATTCATTCATTTCTAAATTAGGGTTTAGTTTCTGGCTTGCGAATACCAGCGTCGAATTGTTGTCGTCAATGTTTTTCGGGAGCCTTGAATTTGGAGCAGAGGTTGTGTGAATCAAGTGAATTGTCTTGTGGAAAGAAGGATTCTGTGTTTTGGCTGAATGTGTCTTGGCTGAAGTTTTTTAGTTTTTAGAGATTTTAATTATGGAAGATGGCAAGGAGAAGAGGGAGCGGGACACGAGTCGAGTGGACTCTCTGGGATGGCTCACAGAGTCCGCTGTTATGCCCAAAAAGCAGCGGGTGATAGAAGGAGTGGGACCTTCGTCGATTGTAGAGCTGCGGGCGCAACTATATCGGACGCAGGAAGATGTGAAGCGAGCCAAGGTGCTTGGAGTTGACCCGGATGTGTTCCGACCTAAAAAGAAGGTTGATGTGTTGTCGAAGAAGAACTCTGGAGTTGAGGATCGGGCTTCCAGGTTTGCTTGTCCTTTCACCCTGTATTCCTGTTTTTTTTTTGCTTGTTTGTTTGATTTCTTCTGTTTTTTGTGTCTTTTTCCTTCTTCTTTTTTTTTCTTTTTTTTTTCTTTTCTTTTCTTTGTGAATTTGTCCGTATCAAAGATAATTGAGTTCCTGTCTGGAGGAATTCTCTACTACGGTTAAGGTTATAAAGAATAGTAGATGCTTTGACACATGTGCAGTACAGACTTTGCTTTCTTTGTATAGAGGTAGAATTCACTATTCTTAGCATTCCGCATTATGCTTTAGCTTGGTAACGAGTATCGAACAATGTATTTATTTTTTCTACTGTTGTGTGCTAGGATTTGTGATTGAGGTGGGGGTCGCATGAACTGGTATCTGAGGGAAGTAGCTGATGCTCGTCTACGATACGTGGATCTCATTATGTTTTGGCATGGCTTACGATGCAGAGATAAGCTTCAGTTGAAAGCGTCTAAAGATGGGGTTGATAGCTACGCTGCTCTAGAGAAAAAAGCTGAGCTTTATGACAAGCTTACAAGGGGCGAACTACCCGATGAGGAAGAGAAGGAGAAGTACAGTGTCGATTTCCTTCGCAAAGGGTCTCTGAGTGATGAAGCTCTGGAAATAGAGAGGGAGCGGCTAGGGGATTCTAAACATGACTCAAGAGAAAGCTTTGAAACTTCAGGAGTTGATGCGGGCACGTCAGAAGCGAAACCGATGTCGGGTGTGGGTTGGGGATTGGGAAAATCAACAGGTTTAAGCCATGAGCAGAAGCAACTCATTAGGTATGAATTGCTTTATCCTTCTTCTTCTGAGGTATCTGTCAATGATTCTGCTTCATATCCCTCGCATGCTTTCGGAGCATCGTGGTAGAGTAAACTTCAGTCTTTATATTGTATGTTTGTACAGGCCATTTATTAGGAACGGCTTAGGATTTTCTATTTTGCTCTGTAAAACCAATCGACTTTTGATTATTTATACCGACGTATACATTCATACGTACATGAAGAATGTGATTACTTGTGAGTTTACTTTCTCAAGTTTCTAAGTGGAAACGGTGCTACAACTATGTTGTTTCAGTCGTTTTCAATCCTAAGCTTTAGGTGTTGGCTTTAACGTTGATTTTTATTGCAAACGTTTATTTACGTGCAGGGAGGTGAACATAGAAACGAAAGAAGCTCGTGAAAAAGCTAATGATTTGAAGCTAAGGCGGCAAAAGGAAGCCGAGAAGAAAAGGGAAAAGTTGCGACTTGCTTTCCTTAAGAAGCAGGTTGAGAAACTCAAATCTTCCGGAGGAGCACAGAAAGGAACTATTGCCTCTGAACCTAGCAAGGAAAATGCAACCAAGCAAGACGGTACATTGTCCCATTGAAAATCTTATTTACTGCCCTCACCTCCTTTGAGTTCTGTGATATTCAATCTGTTCCAGAAGGTCTGAAGAATGATCCGGAATATCTGTAAACTATACCTGCAAAGAAGCGTGGACTGGAGATGGGGCTTATCAACTGCGTTGGACCGATGCAGTGCATGTCTTCTTTGTACGGATGATTCCGAAAACCATCTCAAAGATACTCGCCTACGAGTGGTAATCTTTGTCCTGAATGTGAACTGAAAGATATAGGGATTGCATTGAATGCAGAATATCACGGAAGAGTATTATACTCTAGCTCGCAATAGCTTATAAGATCCATTCAAAGCAGCAGAGGAAATAGAAGATGCCTTCACTTGTGCAGGTTCCTCAAAACTATGTACACTTGTGTAGAATTACGAAACAATTCTTCGTAGGATGAATTCATCCTCCTTTTCAAAAGTAAGAGAATGTGTCACTTCCACGTGCCAACCAGTATTGATTTTTCTCACATAAGCTTTTTTCACACATCTTTTAGGGCTAAAACCAGGTTGGAAAGACTTGCAAAACATACTAGAGTACAGCCCTGTGTCCTCCCCCTGCATGTATGTTGGCAACTTTCACAAAAGTCATCAATCATATCAGAAGACTATCAATTGAATAATGTCTCTTCTCAAAAATGACACCAAATTGAAAAAGATGTTTGAAGACATTGTTACCCAAAGCATGCATTAGCTTCTGGTATTTCAAAATACAAGGAATACATCTCTAAAATTATTACGTAACACTAAAAAAATAAAAATTACATGACAAATACTTAATTGAACCATGTTGAAAGAGTCAAAATGCATGAACATTGTTGATGTCTCTTTGTCTATTTACTTTCTTAATCAAATATCCCTAAACAAACAAATAAAATATTATTTTATACTTTGCATACAAATCACAATCTTGAATTTATGTTATTTGCCATTTTCTTGCTAATTTTTCTCTAAAACAACTAAACCTCACAAGTGTAATTGTTTAAAACCATTTCACTCTACTAATAAAGCATAATTAAATTTCAAGCTAATACAAAGTTTGATGTTAAAAATCTTCTTCAATATGATTTCAACATTTAAAAACCAACTTCAAAATATATCATGAGTCAAACTTTATCCTATCTTTGGAGAAAGGACAATTATATTACTATGCCAATGCTTAATGCTTGGAGACTTGATCATGATGTAAAGGGTCTTTATGCTTAGAAAAGAAGATAGTAATCACAACTTCCAAGTCTTATGATAGGCTTAAATTGAGAAGCTTCTCTTAATTGGCTATATACTAAGTAAAATCAGCTAGAAAGTTGTGGGAGGAAAAGATGACATGGAATATATTTTTTTTCCTATGAGACATGAGAAGTATTGTTTTTTCATAAATTTTACAAACTATGTCAAAAATCACTACAAACATCCATAACACAATTAAAAAAGAAAGAAAGATATAGGTACCTTATTTAAATTTAGAATAAAGAGAAATAATAATAATAGTAATAATAATAAAAGGGGAATGATAAAGCAACCCACTCTATCTTAACCATCATTATACCATTGCAGCTTCCATTCTTGTTCCAAGCCATTTCTCATTCTCAATCATTGTTAAGGATGGAGGCAGGAGGTTTGAAATGTCTGGAATTGGAGCAACAATTGGAAACAGGAGAATGGCTAGGAATGGGGATGGGGTTCAAAGGATATAATGATGGTTTAAATATGTGGGTTGATTTAGTAAAAATTTGGGTGACTTTATCATTTCCCTAATAAAATAATTAGTTAATGTATGATTGGTTAACTAAGATTTTTTTTTTGATTATTACAAATCTCTATCTCATTAATCTGTCGATAGTTCAATTATATTGTTAGTGATATATATATATACACACACAGAGATATATGTGTATATATATATATATATATATATGAAAATTACGGACATATTTAGCTCATCGTATTTCGTAGTTGCCTGGCACTACGAATACTAAAAGATGTTATATAATTAATCGTATACATATCTACGTAAGTTCCTTGATTATATGCAATACATTTGTTCGAGGCTTTTCCACGTTCCCGCCCGTAAGCCCTAATCTCGCACATGCGTCAAGTCATCGCCTGCCCCCGTTCCCATTTCCGACCGAAATTTGTCCGAGATTTGCAGGAATTTCGGGATTTGTGGCCTCCGACTCGGAAGACCCGAAAGTGCCCTTTCTACTGAGTTCAGCATAATGTCAGGGCAGCGCGTGACGAGCAAACCGCACCAAACCCTAAATCTCCTCAATGTTCGACAGGATCAGCTCCTGGAAGAGCTTCGCACAGTTGAAAAGCAGGTAAAAGGAGTTTGTCACGTCGGGCCAAGTTTGTCAAAGGCTGTGTTTGTCCACTGATCACGTAGTGCATCTCTGTTTAATCGTTTTATGACATAGCAATTGAGGATGTTTAAATGTGTTCATGTTCCTTGACGCTAGTTGCGTTACTTTCATTGTGCCTGCTGATGGCCTGGACTTGTGATCGATAATGAGACGACGAAATTCGCCTTGCGATGTGTAGTTGTACGATTTGGAGACCACATATCTGCACGACTCAAGCCAGTGTGGTAACGTGCTGAAAGGTTTCGAGGGTTTTCTTTCGTCGATCAAAGGTTCTGGCAAGTAAGTGAAGTTCTCCAGATTTTGTGCATTGCAGTGTACGGAGTAATGTTACATTACAGTTTGAGAGCTTGGTTGAATCACTGACCGGCAACTTGTCGAGGGTTCAGGGAAGTTGGGAGAGGGTTGCGAGATATGGAATTTTCATTTCGACGTACTCTCTGGTTTTCATTTTGATTGGTTGCGTGTAGTATGAACTCATCACCGTTTCCATCCGTTTTGTAATCGTGAATTGACGTGTTGGTCTCTCATATTCTTTATACTTTTCAAAAGAAGTAGATCAAATGCTGATGGGTCGTATTAGACGTTAAACCGTGGAATTTGAATGTTCTGTTTGTAAGCTTGAAGCGGCCGCGAAAATTTCAACCTGAAGATCGTCTCTTCTCTTTATCATCAGTGACTTCGCCCGTGGTAATTTACTCAAACTCTTCTGTTATTCGATCAGTTGCGTTTTGAAATACAAGCAGAACCGTCGATTACTACGGAAATCATTCATGTGCTAATGAGGTGATGCATAAAACTGTCAGCCTACTTACGGAATTTCCAATTCTGCTAATCCACTTATTTTCCTCCATTTTTGTCAAGGTAATGGTTTGCATCTCACTTTGAGCTTGAAAATAATCTGGCTGCTTTTAACCATGTGGTGCTTTAAGATTTGGACTAGAATTGATGTAGAAGCTTATTTTCCTGCAGCTAGATCCGAGTCATTACACCTCTACGGCACAATGCCAGGGACCTGGTGACGCGTTTTGGCGATTAACCTATTTGTGGATTCCCTCTGGTCCAGGTGGAGGAGCTATCTGGAGGGGGCCGTGATGCAGGTATGCTAAAACAGTGCAATAGAGGCTTTTGTTATGTACTGATTGGTCTCCCAATTATGAAAGATGACCTTGAAAGGTTTATTCGCTATTCGTCGCTTTTGTACTCAATGTCACTTGTGTTTGTAGATGGAAAGATAGACGGCAGTTTGCATGGGCGCACTAAGACAAATGGATTGTTCGTAAACGGACCGTAAGCACTGCCTCTTGAGACTTTGAAATGCTCTCTTGAAAGCACTTCCTGGTTCAAGTTTTGCTTTCTTTTCATGCGACAGGAATTTAGATTGTTCACAGTGAATCATTTAATCTCTTGTGGAACCATTCCTTTCAGTTCTGTGTCTTGTCATTCTTTTGCAGAGAATACTGTGATTCTAATGTAGTTCACGCCATAGCTCACTTGGAACTATCGTCTTGAGTTTCACGGCTTAACAATGATTATGCCATTATTCTGCAGTGGAAAGCAGAAGCGTGGTCGAACTGGACCAAGAGAAGGCAAGAGGATCAAGCAAGTTACTGATCATGGACAAGACGAAGAGGATGACATTGACGGCTTCCTTAAATAGGAGAGCTTAAAATATTCGGTGACGGGTAAAGAAAGTGGGTTCATTTTTCTACCACCAGCTTACTTCATACTACTCTAGAAACCATATTCAACAATCAAAACATTTTCTTTGAGAGGGGGGATTCTCTCGGATTCGGGTTTGGGAGGGGACTGTATATCCTAACTAGCTGAAGATAGTGGATACAGTTGTTTTAGACCAAAGCTTCTGATCATCCATTACAACATTCGCACATAATTTTTCTTGTTCACTCAAGTGAGCAAATGTCTGCTGTACATAACTCCTTCAAATGGTGAAATCTGCATTTAGCGTGAACTGCACTTAGTTTTTCCTGGTTTGTTACAGCACTTTTCATTGTCTTTAGAATAAAAAGATGACAAATCCTTTTTTCTTTTTTTTTCTTTTTTTTTTCCTCAACGACCGTTCAAAGTCTGGTTCCAATTTGGGCTGTAGCAATTTTCTAGAATGTGATCTGATTCAAGGATTCCCGTAACATAGGGTTCTCAGAATCTCCAGTCTACGAGAGTAGCCTCTAATCACCACAAGCTTGGGCAAACACGACCAAAAGCAATCTAAAGTGACTAGACAGGCGTTGTTATAGAAAGTCTGACGTGGAACTTCACCTAGAATGAGATCTTCATCCAACGAGAACGAATTTAGTTGCAGAAGTGATCTGAGGAAATATGGGGATTGATTGTGCATGGCATGGTTGACCAAATCTTTTCATAATTCGTAACTGCCCCAATCTACAAACTTGTATGCACCTAGACTATGATATTAGTCAACTTTGTAGCATTTGCCCTGTGACCTTTCAATGAGTCTTAGTCAATCCAAGTGCTTTGCTCATGCTTTACACGTTGAAGTAGTAGTTCTTGTTTGTATGTCATGACAAATATCAATAAACAAATAAATATCCAGATTTACAAGGTTCCAATTGTCATCCACTTTGAAGATTCTTTTTGAGGGTTCTTATATAACTTTTTAGTATAACAAAATGTAATACTGTTATCTAGTCAATGGGTGTTTTGCTCAATTACTATTTGATCTTTCAGCCATATGGATAGGACAAGTTGCAATTATAGAAGAATATTAAAAAAAATGATGAGATTCAAAAGTATCACTATAACAGGACTATTTTGTGAATTTTTCGTCTCATTATTTAATAATGTTTTGTCATCTTGTGTCTTTTGATTGGTATAAATCTAGGTAATTGGGTTGAAATCGAAATATGTAATGAATTATATTTATTTAAAATATTTAAAAGTAAATGATAAAATAAATAGGTCTTATATATATATATATATATATATATATGTATTTCTATGCTTTGAATAAAAATATTCATAATAACCAGATATTAATATTGAACAAAGATGAATGAATATTGACAATTAATAAATTATAATATATATATATATATATATATATATATAGTATTGCTAATGCCATCATAGTTCTTGCTACTACCACCACAATCTTCTATCCACTTAACATATTTGTTTAGTTTTGTTATTCCAATTAAAATTGTTGTTAATATATATATTGGGTTAAGTTGAAACATACATTTAATTTTAATAAGAATATCTTTAAAAATTAGTTGTAGTGGCAATGACAATAACTATGGTGATATGTGGTGGATGACAAACTATGGTGGCAATAGCAAAAAAAAGTGGTGGCATTAGAAACACCGTATTTATATATATATATATATATATATATATATATGGTTATCAAAAATATACTTTAAAAAGTGAAGTTTAGGAGGAATAAAAATTGTAAAATCATGTATATTAGGGTCCTAAATAAATTTTTAAATAAAATAAAATTTCCTGCCTTATTTAGTAACCCAAAAAATATTTAAAATATTTGGCTACTTAAATAGTCTAAATTCCAGGAATAATAATTGCCATACAAATGATATACTTTCTTAAAACACTTAGCCAAATTGAATTAAAAAATAAAAAATAAAAATAAAGTTGTGAAAGTAAGTCATCAACAGGTTCAAATCAAGGTTCACATGAGAAACATGAAATGGGGCCTCAACTACTTCCACAATTTGCAACTAATGACTTGTTCTCCAATCTCTACAAGGAGAAGCACGTTTTGCCTCCACATCCCACCCATCACACCTATTTCATATTTCTTAGGCAGCAAGTGGACACAGGGCGGCGCCCCCACTGTAGATAAAAACCCACTCAGCGGTTTTCATCAGTGAATCCAATTTGGGGGTATGTAGTGATATCCACCAAAATGGTCATGATTTTTCATAACTGTTTGAGAATAAATGAAACGGTTAACTGGTTGATAAGAAAAACAGGGAACTGGCCACAGTTTGTCTGCTCATCAGCTGTGTGGCCAGAAAAAAGAACGGCAAAGTTGCAAAGCGGTGTGTTTGAGCCGTTGTACCTGCCGAAGTGAAGGGGTTTGGATTGTTAGAACGGTTCAATAGCACCTGTCCACACTACACAACGCCTCTTCACCACCCATCTAAACATGTTCATCACTTTACGTAAAACATTCATGCGGTTCTATGAGATTCAACTCCATAGAACCCACAGAAAGTCTATCACTCTCTCTTGCAAAACTCCACAAAGAGAGTTTCTCCCGGACAATCTGGTAACAAAAATTTGCTCTGTAGTTGAATCTCCATGGAAACATCGTGGTCGAAACTCACGAATGTTATGGCCACACACAGCACTTGCAGGTTTCACATAGACGAACGAGCTAGATTAGGAGTGTGTGAGGCTGATTTTTGAAGAGGAAACTTGCAGGCAAGAGCATATTGTGCAATATGAATACTCCTCCTGATCATGTTTCAGCTGACCGAAATTAAATTTAATGTCAAGTCGATGGTAAAACAATCTCAAATCTTAGCTATGGTGTTTTCAGTCTAGACTTATACACGATGCTGTGTTGCTTAGTTGTTGGATGAAGACCATTGACATCTAACTTTGTGTCAATTTCTGCACGTTATATTTACAACAAGCAAGTGAGGAATTGATACAGTAGTGCCCACATCAGAAGCAAATGGTGCACGTATCAGGAGGCCCAGAGCGGCCAGTCAGTCCGGCTTGCAACTCCAAATCGGGTGTAAGTCGTAATTTAGCCAGAATTTAATCTGTTTGGAAGTTTCGCAAAATAAGCTTTAACACGGACATTCTTGCATGGATGTGGAGTAATGACTTCATGATGATCCCATGACCGCTAGAGACGCTGCTCGCAAAGAATTCTGCGACGGGCTTACAATATTGTCCATTTGGTTAGATTCTACAGGAGGGAAGAAAGTGCATCTGTAAGGTATGCACCTGCGGCTTCCACAAATGCCCCCAGAAGCACACATCCGTCTTCACCAAATTCGGCGACAAGACAATTTCAGAATATTGCGCCAAGTACCCACAATGGCCAGTCCCGCAGAAATTCATCCGCAAGGTGCCCCCATCCGAGCACGCCAACCTCAGAATGGCCTCGGAGACGACCTACAGCGACGACTTCGTCAAGCACCCATTCGGCCCCGCGGCCTCACGCCGCCCTACCCAACTAACCACCCAAACTGGTGTACTGCAAAAGGAAACGACCTACAATACCTCCTACTGGGATAAATCGAAGCAAATGCAACCCAGAGTGAAAATGCAACCGGAGAAGCACGGATCCGGGGCCAAATTCTCCGGCCAGTCGCTCTACTCAGTAGAATTCACCAACCCCGGCCGACAACCCCCTAGTAAAGTGGTCCGTCACGGCGACAGCCTTGGCTCACACGGTGCCAAATTCGACTCCGACTCCACATATCACGATGATTACAGGCAATGGAAAATCCCAGCCAAGCACCTTCATAGGAGGCCGGACAACCCACAGCCTACAGGTAAGATCGAAGGCCCGACAACGTATCAAGCCGACTACCAGAACCGCAAAATCCCCAACCAATGCCCTGTTTCTGTCGGCAGCAAGCCCTCGATCGTTTGCGGCGATCACATGTGCTACTGAGTCCACTCCATCGCTGTGCGTGGATCACTAACCCAGACTCTATTCCGCGAATTCCCCGCCTGTGATCGATCGATCGATCAATGGAATAAGGCCAAAGTGCTGCAGAACACATGACTTGCCTTAAAACAGACAACTTTAGAATATCTACCAACTTTCATAATCTTCAGATTACGTTGATTTATTTACGTAGATTCCTCGTTTTTATTGAAGATACGCTGACCGGGCGTGATGTATTGATATTCGATAGGTAGTCAAATAAATATGCTAAAACCAAAGAATTTTGATAAAGCCATAATATTAACAAGATTTTAAAAATATATAGATTAATGAGACGAAAGACAATTTCATATTTACTAGTACCTATATCAATTATAGGCTTAGGAGTCTTTTGTTAATTATTTTTAAAAGAGTATTTTTAAGAAAAATATATTTTTTTTACATAAGTTTTTTTAATGTATTAATTTTATTTTTTTAAAATAAAAAATACATTCTTTATTTATAGATTTATATAAAATATTAAATTAATGCTATCTATTTCATACCTAGCTAGGATTAGTGGGAATGGGGGAACTAGGAAATGGAAACAGGAGGTGGATGTACAATGATGGTTGAGACATGTAGATCAATTTAACAAAATTTTGAGTCATTTTAACATTATCACATATATATATATATATATATATATATATATGTATAGTTAAAAAACTACAACTTGAAGCTAGTATATATTTTTTTAGGAATTATTTTTAAATCAGTTGTAATAAATTGGTTTACAATTTATAAGAATCAAGATAAATTGTAGTTTTTTACAATTTCCACATGTGGGTCTAAACAATGGCTTTGACACAATTGAAAGTGATATATTATAGTATTTAGAGGGCATTCCATTACTTATATCATTGTCCATTTATTAAAATCTTCAAATCAAGTAGTATTTATTATATTACTATCTTTAAGTAAAATTACAAGGAAAAATTAGGATTTTATTGAAAGATTAGGTGTTGATTGTATGACAATTATTTCCTAAAAAATCAATTGGACAAATTAAAAGTATCCACAAGGTCTAGCTCTATCACATCTTAGATTTTACGGATCTAATTTACACAATCCAACAAATAAAGAGTTTTACTATAATTTTTAAATAAATGAGTATTGTGGCATGGATCTATAGAAGCTAGGACTACAATGTTGCTAGGGCATTGAAGAACTATGCCCCACAATGTGATAAGCCTTAATAAAAAAAAGAATCTAAATCTAAACATAGTAACTTCAACTTCCATGAGGTTGTTTGCAATTTGAATGACCATAGGATGTGACCATCAAAAGCACCACATGATTGCGTTTGTGGACTCTATAGCATCATTGTGATTTATTGATTAAAAGATAATGAAAGAATTGGATTTTCTAGTGGTAGGAAAGTTAACTCTAGTAAATATGGATATTTTGTTGCGGACATAGATATTTATTTTAATAATTATCAAAATAATATGAATAAGTGGAAGTATATAAAAATAGATAAGCTTGATAATATCTTGTAGAGAAGTTTTTTAGAAGCTTTATATATACAACTTTGACTTTATATATGTTTGTAATTGATTAATAGATTAGAAACTTGGCCAACAAATTAGCCACTTGTCACATATGTTGGTAATTTATTATACAAACTAACCATTTGGCACACATGTAAGAAACTTACCTTGCAAGTTAAGACATGTGTCTTGCAAAATAGACATGTATTAGAAGTTATATGGAACGTTGCTATATAGCTTTTAGTTAGATAATATATATATATATATATATATATGGAAGTAAAAATGAAGAATTTTTTTATTCTTGTCAATTCTTTTCTTACTTCTAGTCTAGTTTAAAGAAACTTTAATTTTCTTGTCTTTTTAGCAATATCCATTCCAATTTCTTTTGAATATACATATTTACTTATTTCTATTTTATCATCTTTCTTTGAAAAAAGTCTTACTTATTTATTTATCTTTCATCAAGTTCTTATCCTTGACAAATTAACAAGAATACACATATTATATGAAAGATATATATATTTTGATTAAGAATAGATTATCTCTTTTCTAATAAAAAATAAATAATATTAAAAATTATAGATTATTCACTTCTAAATTCATATCATTTTTAGTATTTTTTTAATTTTTTAGTCCTCTCTTCTATTTGTCTTAAGAGATATTAGACATCTTCTTGTCTATTATGTTATTATGACTAAGCTTATTGAAATATGAATACAATAGTACAAATATAAGAATAATTAAAAAAATTAATACTTATAATGCATCAACTCAATTTACTGCCATAAAGAACAATAAGATTGGAGGAAAGTGAAGATATAAAGATAGTTGGAGTTGCTTCAATATCAACACTAAATCATCTAAGTTTTCCTATGGAAAAAAATCATTTAAGTATTAGAAAACTAAGAATTATCATATTTGAGAAATTCCATGGTCCAAGAACAAAATTTTAAGGATTCATCAATCAAATACAATTGGTGATTGAACTTCAATCTCAAAGCTATCCAAATTTAAAAACAAAAGTTAAGTTTATTACAACACCACTTTTAAATTTTGCTCTAACTTGATTTTTATCTTTTTTTAAATAATGTGATCTAATATAGGATAAGTTGGAGGTTTTTTTGGTTGAATTTTGATACATATATGAAAAACATGATGCAATTTGTATTGCAACCAATAAGATTTGTATCTTGCGATAAAACAATCAATTAATAATATTATATACTTTACAATTTTGAAAACTTGTAATTGATATCAAGTAAAATGATGTTGTATTTATTAGCTAATTTTTCTATAAATTATAATAAAAAATAAAATAATTAATTCTCAACTTACTTGATCCTTAAACATCAAATCAAGCAATTGACTTTGTTCAAAAGTATAACAATTGATTATTTGAATTTCAATTTGAGAGGCGCATAAGCCAGTCTTAATATTTTTATAATTCAATGGTAATATCAACATCTTTTTAATATATATGTATATGTATATATATATATATTTGAAAGTAGAAGATATGCAAATTGACATGATATATTTCAAACTTCTTACTGAATAAAAAAAGACTTATCATTGAAAAAAATGATAATATTTATATTGTGGAGAATCTAAATACACTACTCAACATTGTCCAGAAAAACAACACAACTATAAAATGAAAAGTATGGCTATTAAAGAAGATAATTTATCAAAAAATAATTTTTTTTACCTATAATAGGAATTATGTAGCTAGAATTTTATATAACACCTAATAAAAGTTATTTTTTTCTTTCAAAAGTATCTTTTTGTTTTACAATTGATATTAATTTAAGTCTTAAATATCACAAAACCTCTACCTTATTAGATTCAAGAGCCTCAATTTATTTCTCAGATGAAGAATTTGTAAAAAGATATAGCATTCCTTCAAACAACTAATAAAGAAAATTAAACATGTTCATGTAGGAGTAATAGGTGGTCGTCTATTGTCTTCTAGAGATATTATCTATAAAATCTTTTCTATAGAAGTAGCAACTAGTAGTTATAATAATTTTGTGATATTCAATATTATTGAATTTCTCTATAATGTAATCATTTTAGGTTTATTATAGCTAAAAAGTATAATCTTAGAATAGATTGGACTTTTTATAGTCTTAACTTTTTCTATAATATAATTAAGAATGATGTTAATCGAATAGAAAGTCAAATGTCTAGTACAACCAAACAAAAACTTTGAAAATACAAGAACTTTCTTACATGCTATAAAAAAATAAAAAAAATCTTATTATTTTATTTATGCTACATCCATTTTTAATAGTAATAAGACTTCAAGTAACATTGTAAGCCAATATTAAAATCATTAAGATTTCTTAGAGAAGAAAAATATAAATATTCTTTTAAAGCATTGTTCCTATGATTGCTCAATTGATCTTTAAGAAAAAATTCAATTACCATTTGAATCAATCTACAATTTATTATAAAATGAGTTGGTTGAACTCATAGAATATATTGATAAGAATCTGGCAAACACTTTCATACATCATCCAAAATCTCCAAGAAGAGCTTCTATCTTGTTTGTGAAGAAAAAAGATGGATCATTTCAGATATGTTTAGATTATTGAGGATTTAAAAAGATCACTATCAAGAATAGGTATTTAATATCTTTGATTTTTAGACTTTTTTATCAATTTAATTAAAATAAATCTATATTAAAATAGTTCTACAAAGAATATGAAATTTGATACATATCAAAGAAGGAGGTGGATAGAAGATTACATTTTGAACTTTGTATAGATATTTTAAATACAATGTCATGCCATTTGGATTCACAAATGCACATTTTTTTTTTAATATCTAATAGATGGCGTTTTTTAAGAGTTTTTAGATGATTTTATTATTTATTATTTGGAAATCTTAA